CCTGTGAGGTAGACTCTAGTAAAACCATTGAGATTTGGGGGGCTGCTAGAGGATTGTGGTGACATGTGACATCATTTCTGGTTGTGCCGCTGGAAGTGATGTTGCAGTACTTCCTCCCTCCCCCAATTTCCTCCTGTTCCTGCACAGGGCAGAAGTGAGCAGCTGGAGGTGGTGGGGAGGTTGGATTAGGTGGTTTCCAAGACCCTTCCTAATTCTATGACTATGACCCTACAATATAATATTACATTAATATTTTTGATAACAATTGCACATCCACAGTGATCCTCATTCCACAACCAAAGTAGGAGCCTACCTGGGAATAAAGTGCTTTGAAGAGTCTTCATGCAGGTGAGGCCTTTGTTAGAATACACCGATTTGCTGAGTGGAGGCTTACAGGACCTGCTGAATTCCATCTGGAATCCTTCAGCAAAATGTGACACATCTACAGAGTAAATTGTTGTTGTTCAGTCGCACAGTCGAGTCCGACTCTTCGCGATCCCATGGACAAGATCACGCCAGGCCTGCCGGTCTTCCGCCGTCCTCTGAAGTTTGCTCAACTTCATGTTCGTTGCATCTATGACACTGTCTAACCATCTCATCCTTTGCCGTCCCCGTCTTCTTTGACCTTCAAGCTTTCCCAGCATCAGGGTCTTCTCCAGTGAGTGCTCCCTTCTCATTTGGTGGCCAAAGTATTTGAGCTTCAGTTTCATTATCTGGCCTTCCAGGGAACAGTCAGGGTTGATTTCTTTTAGGATTGACTGATTTGATCTTCTTGCAGTCCAAGGGACTCTCAAGAGTCTCCTCCAGCACCATAGTTCAAAAGAATCTATTCTTCGGCACTCGGCCTTCCTTACAGTCCAACTCTCGCAGCCATACATGACTACTGGGAATACCATTGCTTGGACCATGCGTATTTTTGTTGGCAGGGTGATGTCTCTACTTTTTATCATGCTGTTTAGGTTCACCATCGCTTTCCTCCCAAGGAGCAGGCGTCTTTTAATTTCATGGCTGCAGTCACAGTCTGCGGTGATTTGATGACTAGGGAGCCATGTACCTGATGTTATCTGCAGGTCGTCTTGAAGAAACAGGCTCTGAAGAACTGCTCTTCCAAAAGCAGCATCAGTTTTAGCACAGTGCATCACCACCAGGAACTTCTCAAAGGCTGAAGTCAGTGAACCAATAGCAGACCTGCAGAGATATGTCACCAAGTATCTGGAGAAAGTGGCAGAATCAGGAGCCATAATGACCCTTTCACAGTACTAGCTTGCTTGATACGTTCGCATCAAACTTTAAAGCCAGGCATCTTTCCCGGCATTTGAAAGACATGTTTGCACTCACTGGAGAAAACCCTGATGCTGGGAAAGA